CCCATGACATCCACGGCCATTAGCATTTATATTCACAAGAAAGGAATGTCCACACAGATGTTAAGGTTTCCGCACTTAACTCATGTTCTTCAAGATGGTAGTGACAAATCGCACCACATCACAACACACAGACATACTATTCAGGGTCACTTGGCATTCTTGCCAATCACATATAGTGAATGTACTGTAGCAGTCATTATATGAAAGCAGCACATTGCACTTCACTATTAAACCCTTTACAGAGTCTCTCTCTCTCTCTCTCTCTCTCTCTCTCTCTCTCTCTATCTATTTCTCTCTCTCTCTCGGCTAAGACTTGCCATTAGGCTCTACACATCCAGCTCATATCTCCCTGCATGCTGTTCCAGAGACAGGACTGCTGCAGCTCCTCTAGTTCCTGTACACTTCTCCCAGAACCTCCATGAGGAATTGCACTCACTACAGAGAACATGTGGCCTGGCCTAAAAGGCCCTTTTGCAGCTTATTTTAACCACCACCAACCATAAAGAGACAGGAGACTACAGCTGGTTCTTATGGATGTAAGACTATCCCACCTTGTCTTTGTGCCCTATGCTGGGCCTTAGCTGCATCTGCATAGGCATGGGGTGACTGACCCCCATGCCCCATATGCACCAAGCTCCTCCTGATCTGATAAACAAGCACTAACTCCAACTATTACAACACTACAGAAAGTCGTTGTCTTAAAGGGACCTAACACCCAATTACACTATTCACTGTCACCGCACTCTATTGTGGGACAGAGCCAATTTTTGGCAGACCAGTTGACTACACATCTGCTTACACTGTATTTCTACTGGTAGGAGGTGTGTGGGAAGAGGTGGGTGGATCTGGAAAAGCGTGGAGTATGACCTGTGGGGTGTGCCGCTTGGCTTCCACTGTCACAATGGGCTATTAACCATGCTGCGTCATGACTTGTGAGCAGGGGCGGACTGACCATTTGGAAACTCGGGCACTGCCCGAGGGCCCGGGTCAGTAGGGGGCCCCATAAGATGCCCCTGGTACCTTTTTCATAGGCTTTTTTGAGTTTGGGCAAGGACAGGGGCCCCATGATCCCCTATTGCCCAGGGGTCCCATGAGTTGTCAGTCCGCCCCTGCTTGTGAGTACCTCTATGGAGGGGATTATCCTTTAAAAATGGAGGCGTTAGAAAGAAAGAGAAAGCCACCTATTTTTAGGGGACTAGTCAAGCACAGGATCATGGAAACATTTGTGGGAGAGATGTGTTTTCTTTGCCTCGTAGAGTGGGCTGTTTTACCACTTTGCTGGAGAAGATAAGAAATGTTTAATTGAAACTTTTTTTGGAGTAAAGACTGAGTTTAAATTATTCAAAGAACATGACTGGACTTTCTTCATTATGTTCTGGAAAGAGAAAGAAAGCAATGGAGGCGTTCAGCACAGGTTTGAGCTCTGTGCAGTGGTGGCTGGGAAGTCTTTGTCCTAGAATGCAGCAAAGTGAGAGCTGAAGACTGAACTATGCCTAAATTGTTGGAAAAAGGGATCCCTCAGACAGTAGTAGGCAACCACTGAAAGTCAGTCTGTGGACTATGGAGGCTGCACTGGGGGAAGGAGCTCTCTCCTGAGACTGCACCTGTGTTCAAGTGCGTTTCAGTAGTTGTAACAATAGGCCTTTGGCCATTAACAGCTGGGCAGAACCCTGTGAGCATCAATGTGGTGTTTTCATATCAACTAAGCCTTGTGTGTGGCTTAGTTGCAAGCTCCAACACTACCTGGAAGAGTTGGAGCTGTGCCTAGAAAAACCATCTTTCTACTTACTTCAAATTGGCTGTGGCCTTACCTGTCCCAGGCAACTCCAGTCTTCTCCACTAAGCTGGCAGGCTGTGTTGTACTGTATATGTATGGTGGTTTCGCCGCAGGACCCATTGGAGAACCTGTCAACTTACAAATCTGCATCTTCCAGTTCTTTTTACATAGGGTTCAAGCCCCAAAAGCTTTACCCTGTGTCATGTTCTGAGCAGTTCAAAGCCTATTATTGCATTCATTCCAAGCTAGGCAATGTAAGGACTTTAACTACATGCCGCCCAGCCACTGTACATATACGGCGTCAGGGCGGCACTCGCAGGCAAAACCACGTTTTAAAACGTGTGTTTTGTAAACAAATAGGGGGCGCACGCGAGGCGCGCCGCCGCCCTATCTGTCCCGCGGATCACCGCCGCAGATGTCAGTCGCCGGGTCACAGCCGCTCCTTAGCGGCTATGTCCCGGCGATCGGCGGCAAACAGTGACAGAGAGCACAGCTGCAGTAGCTGTGCTGTCTGTCACTTCCCTTTCAGCTCGAGGATGAGCTGATCGAGAAAGAACAGTTTCTCTTTCTCGATCAGCCTTGTCCCGTCCAGTACACCCCCCACCCCCTAGTAAAACACTTCCCTCACTCCTATAACCCTTCCCTGCAAAATAAAGTTAACCCCTTCCTCCCCATTGCCATTAGTACAGTGTCAGTGGTTTTTTTTTTGCACTGATCACTGTATTAGTGTTTTTGGGGATGTCAGTGAACCCAAACCGTACAGGCAATCAAATACCACCGAAAGAAAGCTCAATTTGTGGGGAAAAAAAAGATGTAAATTTCATTTATGTACCATATTGCATGACTGCGCAATTGTCCGTTAAACAAGCGCAGCGCTGTATAGCCAGAAAAATGGCGTAAATTGCAGTATTTATACCATAGTTTGTAGACGCTATAACTTCCACACAAAGCAATCAATATACACTTATTGGGATTTTTTTTACCAAAAACATGTAGCAGAATACATTTTGGCCTAAATTTATAACCAACTTTGAGTTTACTATATATTTTTTATAGCTGAAAGTAAAAAATATTGTTTTTCTTCAAAATTTTTGGCCTTTTTTTGTTTATAGCGTGAAAAATAAAAAATGCACAGGTGATCAAATTACACCGAAAGAAAGCTCTATTTGTGTGAAAAAAAGGACGTAAATTTTGTTTGGGTGCAGCATTGCATGACCGCGCAATTATCAGTTAAATTAGTGCAGCGCCGAGTAGCAAAAAGAGGCCTGGTCATTAAGGGGGCTAAATCCTCTGGAGCTCAAGTAGTTAATAATCATTCATTCATAAATGTCTAATAATTTAAAGTGATGTCACAGACTTAGGTGACTGAAAGCTTGAGGTTACAGAGCATGTATAGGTCCAGTTCATTGTCACTGTCAGTGCACACAGGCAGACAGGCTGCAACAATAGTATACCAGCAGTGCTAAATATAGAGGAAGAACAACTTCTGTTTATACAGAAGAAGCTGAAATTGTAACATACCTAAGCTTTACATTCTGTACATTCCACCTTGTGATACAAATCGGGCATTTTGTCCCATGGCTGGAGAGAATGACAGTCATTTTATACCCTTCCTTCTAAATGTTTTTTCTTGTGACATTTGTTAAATGAGCTCAAAATTGAACTTCGAAGAATGTTGAATGATATCCACTCAGTTTTCACGTGCACGCATAACTTATTTTTAGTAATAGAGAATCTACCAAAAAGATATACATTGACCAGGCATAACATTATGACCACTGACAGGTAAAGTGAAAAACATTGATGATCTCATTACAATGGCATGTGAAAGTGTGTGAGAGATATTAAGCAACAAGTAAACATGTTGTCCCTAAAGTTAAGGTGTTGAAAGCAGTAAAAATTGGCATGCATAAGGATTTGAGCAAATTTGACAAAGGCCAAATTGTACTGGTTAGACGGATGGGGAACCCCAAAACTGCAGCTCTTGTAGAATGTTCCGGATCTGCAGTGGACAAGACCTACCAAAAGTGGTCCAAGTAAGGAAAACCATTAAACTGGCGACAAGGCCATGGGCAGTCAAAGCTAATTGATACACATGGACAGCGAAGACTCTCCCATGTAGTCCAATCCAATAGAATAACTATTGTTGTTCAAATTGCTGAAAAACTTAATGCTGGTTCCAATAGAAAGGTGTCAGAATACACAGTGAATCACAGTCTGTTACGTATGGGGCTGCATAGCCACAGACCAGTCAGAGTGTCCATGCTGGCCCATGTTCACAGTCAAAAAGCTACAATGGGCACTTGAGCATCAAAACTGGATTTTTGGGGCAATTCAAGAAGGTGGCCTGTTCTTATGAATTCAAGAATGGTTTGAGGAACACAACAAGTCTGAGGTGCTGGCTTGGCCTCCAAATTCTCCAGATTTCAATCCATTTGAACATCTGTGGAATGTGCTAGAAGAACAAGTCCGATCCAAGGAGGCCCGACCTTACAAAATATAGAACTTAAAGGATCTACTACTGACAGCTTGGTGCCGAATACCACAGCATAGCTTCAGAGGTCTAGTGGAGTCCATGCCTTGATGGGTTGCTGTGAGTGGTCAGACTGTTATGGCTGCACATTACATTACCAAGGCAATCAGCAATTGAGTAATCCAGGTACAGATTTCTCTAGATTCTGAGTATTACTCTTTAGGACAGTTTAAATGGCGTTCTTAGAACGAAAGTCTGTTTTAAAGTGGTTCTAAAATCAGGATTTTTTTTCCTTAATGCATCCTATGCATTAAGGTAAAAAAACGTTCTTAGTGCGGCTCCCCCTCCTTTCCCCAATGCCCCCTTATACAGAGCCTGATGTCGATCCAATGCTGTACCTGACTGAGAGCAGCATCACTGCTCTATCTCTTTTTATTCACTGGCTCAGATGCAGCAGCGAGAACCATTGGCTCCTGCTGCTGACTATCACAGCCAGTGAAAAGGAAGATGGGGTGGGGCCAAGCCCCACTCTGTGTGTCAATGGACACACAGGATGTGGCTCAACTTACTGTGTGCCTCCATAGAAAGCTATAAGTTTGCTATGGGGGTACTTAGCAGGGGGGAGTAGCCAGGAGCGCCAATCAGGGACCCCAGAACAGGAGGATTGGGGCTGCTCTTTGCAAAAACATTGCACAGAGCAGGCAAGTATAACATGTTTGTTATTTTAAAAACAAGTATGTATATATATACATGATTTTGCATTTCCGGGTAGGGGGCGTGTGCCTACCCGCACCGCCTTTACGGCTGTCAATCACCAGGTCCCAGCCGGTGATTGCTGAGCATGTCCGACGAGGGGGGAGAACTGTTTGTAAACTAAACAGTTCTCTCCCCTGTCAGCTCCTGTACACTGCTTTGCATGGCTGTGCATAGCGCAACCATGCAAAGCAGTGTGCTTACAGTGAAGCACAAACACACAGCCCCACAGTAAAACACACACAGCACACATTTAACCCTTTCATCCCCCCACATGTTAACCCCTTCCTGTCCAGTGCCATTAGTACAGTGTCAGTGCTTTTTATTAGCACTGATCACTGCACTGGTGTCACTGGGAATGTCAGTGACACCAAGTAATTCCCCCCCCCCCCCCAGTGTCAAAATGCTCGTTGCAGTCCCGCTATAAGTTTCTGATCACCGCCTTTACTAGTAATAATTAAAAAAAAAAAAAATCCCAGTATATATACCATTATTTGTAAACGCTATAACTTTCATGTCAACCAATTAATTTACATGTATTGGGATTTTTTTAGCAGAATACATTTTGGCCTAAATTTATGACAAAAGTCAAAAATATTGTTTTTTTCTCAAAATTTTCGGTCTTTTTTTTTTCATAGTGCAAAAAATAAAAACCGCACAGGCAATCAAACACCACCTAAAGAAAGCTCTATTCATGAGAAAAAAAGGACGTCAATTTCATTTGGGTGCAGTGTTGCATGGCCGTGCAATTGTCAGTTAAAATAACGCAATGCAAAAAATGGCCTGGTCAGGAAGGGGGGGGGGGGAATCCTCATGAGGGCAAGTGGTTGAACTGGAACTTTAGGCGAAAGTTAAACACAAAGTCGGAATACCTACAGAACACAGTATGTTTACTGTTCTACCTGCCAAAGGACTGTCACTTTTGTTATGCCAGTAAGATCCAGTACACATCTCTGCTACAATGCTACTTCTTAGATCTCTCCTAAATTGGCAGCTAATTATGCTGAATTATGGTCTAGTGAGCAGGCTGGAGATGGAGAGAAGACATAGAAGGGAAGACATAGAAAGCTAAATTGTTGAACCAAGAAATACATGTCCCAACAGCCTGTGCGGTGAGGCCAAGATGTATACATTGCAAAACTAGCTGAGCAGAGTTACAAATGTTTTGGTAGGTAAATTAGTTCACCTTTTGGTCAAAAATAATAAATGCACATTTTTTTGTAGGTAAAAAAATGTGCTTTTATTATATTTGTCCAAAGGAGCCTGGAAAGCATTGCACCAGCAATCAGTAGATCACTGATGCCATGCAGGTCTCCTGCAGACCTGTCAGAATATCTGTTTCCCCATTCGGGATGCTTCAATGAACAACCACGGTGCTCCACAAGAAGCCCATGAATGAATGACACAGCTGCACTGTTTTCAAATCTGACAGATAGTACAGGGAGACTTCTCCCCGTATTATCTGTCAGAGGGAGGGGAGCTGCGGGCGCAGCTGCGGCTATGGGAACATGTTAGATGTTCCACCCTAAAAATGAGTGAAACATGTAACCTGTTCCCAAAGGTGAACTTCTCCTTTAATGCTTAGCTTCTAAACATTTGCATCCAGGCAGTTCAGAGGTTGTGTGCCGAGAGCATCCTCCTAACACACTGACATGCACAGCTTCTGATAATTATTTGCAATCAGGAGTCAGCGGGATGGGCTGCCAATCATGACAGTGTGACAGCCAATCACAGAATGAGGAAGCTGCTTCCTACTGGGAGGCAGCAACAAGGGGTTAATATACAGTATATGTATTCAAATTGTGGTCTTAGCTGTAGGTTTTAAGTTTGCATCAGTTGCGCTGGTTTTTCACCATGATCTCTGCCACATGAGAACATTTCTAATGGCATGTGTACTGGTTTCTTTCTATTTCTTTCAAATAAACACAATTATAAAAATTCTTCATCTGAATATTTTTTCTGTAATTCATAAAAAAATTTATGAAAAAAATATTTGAATATATGACATGAAAACAAGTGAAACATTTTCGACTTGTCAGATCTTTTCCTCCTTCTAATCTCAAGAAAAATTATTTTTTTGAGCACTCTTTTCAAGGAACAAAGAAGCAGCAGCTCTGTATCATCTGGAGGGACACAATACAAATGGTCACTGCACTATGGTTGTTCATTGGTTCTGTCCAGGGGTGGACTGACCATTTAGAAACTGGGGCACTGCCTGAGGGCCCAGAGTCAGTAGGGGGCCCCATGAGATGCCCCTGGTAACTTTTTCATAGGCTTTTATGAGTTTGGGCAAGGACACAGGGGCCCCATGATCCCCTATTGCCCGGGGGCCCCATGAGTTGTCAGTCCGCCCCTGGTTCTGTCTATACATTCACTTCCAATGTGGTTTGCTGTGTATAGCTGTTCTTGCTATGCCCTGTGCATCTGGTCCTCTTCCCCTAGTGCTAAAGTCAATTTTATTGGGTAAATAGTTTGCCCTCCATTGGCATTTGATTGGCCGTCACCTTTTCAGTCCTAAACAGAGGCTGGTGTAAATCACATGCCTGTTGACACTTGGCCAATAGCATGATTGGCAGTGTAGTGCAGAAGACGAATATGAGGCACTTGCAGAAGCGTCCAGTCAATATTCATTTTACAAATCTAAATGTTTACATTGGCAAACCAAAGCATATGCCTTGAAGTTTCACTTGGGGGACCAAGCAAACATCTGAATATTTTTAGCAGATGTATGAAATGTATTAAAGAGATTGTAAACTCTCACTTAAACCCAGTGATGTGACGGGGCTGAGGTGATACACAGAGATTAAACAAATCCTCCTACATAAGTTGTACCTGTCTATCTGCAGTACTCTCTTCTAGACAACTGTTCTAATTGCTGAACTTGTAAAGCTTGTCTGAGAGCTCAGAAAAAAGGGGGTGGAGAGCTGAAGTTATGCACTGCAGAGCTCAGTGAGGAGAACGCTGAGAACTGATTGAGGTAAAAGACACCCTCCCCTAAACAAAGCTCACAGGAGTCAATCTGTTGGAGGTTCCTTCCTTGCCACCATTTTTTCTTGGTATCAGGAAAACTTATCAGAAGTGATTCATGCTGATACCCAGTGGCATTGCTATGGGGTTATGGGGGGGTGAGGACTGCACCCGGGTGAGCCTGCCAGAGTGGTGACTCCCAGGGCCATCTTTAACGTGATAGCTGAGCGCTATGCTACCCCCCACTTTTTCCTCGCTCCCCCACTTGACCGCTGCGGGCACAACTACAGTGGGTTTCAGGTCAGCCTTGCTATGACAGGGGAGAGGTGCAGCTGCAGGTTGTCTGTCTACTTGCTACCCGCTCGGTCACCCTCTTCATATCAACAGTAGGCTCAGTGTAATTGCTACTGTAAAAGCAGAAGAAGAGGCCAATCAGAAAAGACTCAAGGAGCATGATGGGCCATGTGTTCACTGAAGTGCATGGGTCCTGAACTACACCCTGATTTTAAAGGAGGGGGGAGCAAGATTTGTCAGGGCAAAAACTCATCAGGACAGTGCAATGTTCCTGGAGGGAGTTAATGAGTGGAGAGTGTGGTACAGTTCCCCCCCCATAGAGAGACTGCTGAAAAAACCATCAAGCGAGTACCAGGTGGGGGAGACTGCAAGAGTGAGAGGACTATGTTGCCAAGCCACTGCCAAGATACGGACGTTGCTGCACTGCCTACTGGAGTCATCACGGGCAACCCAGAGAGAGTGGACACCTGATCAAAGGGACCACTGCTGCTGTGTCACTGTATCTGGTGAGAGGGCCTTGCAGCCACTACTTGCTACCACTAGAGAATAAGCCATTAGGAACTATCTGAACAACTACCTTATAGCTATGGTAGGTATAGCCAGTGGCAAAACTACCAGGGTCACAAAGGTTGCACTTTCAACGGGGGGAGGGGGGTATACACCATGTTTTACCACACCAGGTGACACCAACCCTAGTAACACCACTGCTGATAGCACAGGAATGAAGCAGCAGACAGAAATGACACTAAGGGGTTTATTTACTAAAGCTGGAGAGTCCAAAATCAGACTCCCTTCTGCACAGAAACCAATCAGCTTCTAACCTCAGCTTGTTCAATGAAGCTTTGGCAATGAAACCTGGAAGCTGATTGGTTTCTATGCAGAAGGGAGTCTGATTTTGGACTCTCCAGCTTTAGTAAATAAACCCCTTAGTGCCCTTAACTGAGACAAGTTCACACTATTGAGGGAATGCTTTGTTCATATTTCATGCCTGAGGTTTACAACCACTTCAAGAGATTGTAAAGACATTAATACAGAAAATTTGGTAATATTTTCATTGTTTTGTTTGCTAGTTGTACAATATAATTTTCTAGTAAATTGAGTTTTGCCTTAAATTTTACATATAAGCATTAAAAAGACTTTGGGGTTCATTTACTTAAACCAAAGAGTGCAAAATCTGGTGCAGCTCTGCATAGAAAACAGTCAGCTTCCTCTTTTTTGGTCAAAGCTGACAATATTAGCTGATTGGCTACCATGTACAGCTGCACCAAATTTTACACTCTCCAGAGGTAGTAAATAATATTTATTTTCCATAATATTAAGTTAATATTTTTGGACCTTTGAGTATATTGAATTTTTTTTTTAATTGTCTTAGGTACATATCAAATTAAATGGAGTCCTGAGACAGGTAGAAACAGTTGTGAGACATATCCGCGTCCAAGCCCTTGTGGTGGGCAAAGGTTATAATAAATATTTCAGCAAACAATGATGGAGACGTGCCAGACACATAACGTACCCAAAGATAATGGTTAATTGTTACAGGCCTATTTTGCCAGCTGTTGTTAAACATCAAGTCTATTTCCTGAGTAATGGCAGAAAATCTATTTCTAAAAATAAATGTTCCTCCTCTCCAAAACTCAATGATATTGTTTTCGTAATTCTGAGATTATATGGCATGCCAAATTTTAGAAAAAATCCCCAGTCCATTTTGTGCCCATCTGTTAAGTGACACAATTCCTTCCAGCAGCTGATTTCACTTGGCCGAGAATTTCTCTCTGATAGATCTGGCAGAGCACCATCTGCCGGAGAAATCTATTATCACTCTGCACTATGCAAATTAAATGGTGCTCTAGGAGGACCATTTTATCTGAATGGCTATACTTTAGCCTGCCAAACAACAAGTACAAATACTTAACATGTCTGAGACATTTGTATGAGAATGTTCTTCAGTTCATTCGATGTCTTGAAAAATGTCATTCAAAAGGTCTTCAAAAAAACTTTGCTTTTCACATCCAATTTTGGAGTGAATAGAATTTCCCAAAGACCACTTTTGCCGTTAGAAATTTATTCCTTCAAGAAAATGTTTCCATCCTGCTCCTTCAAATTTTGTCACCACTGTAATCGAAAACAAATGTCAGTTTGACCCCACCAACAATTAGAAAATCAAAC